CACAGTGGTTTGTGGTTACTGCTGTACCAGAGAGCTTTACTCTGAGCCATGCCGTATTCCATACTCATTGGTATCTGTACGTACATCCAGATTTTATATCGACACCATACATAGATGTCGTGGACACACTTGGTGCCCACCTCAATCTCCTTGACCCTCGTTTACCAGCTCTGTGTGTCTCTTTCCCAGCTGTTTAACATGTGTTTTGATGCTAATAGTTTGTACCTGTGACCTTCAGAGGATTTCCTGGGGACAAGGAGGTTCTTGCCCCTACAGAGCACCACAGTGCTTGGGGGTCATCTACCTTCCCTACCCACCCCCCCTTCCACCCCCGACCAGGGAATGACTGGCTGGTGGAGGAGTACAAACACCCTTTTGTCTTAAAGCACAACTCTGAGGTGCACTTCATACTCCAGAGCTGTCCATGGAATCAGGCTGGATCTGGAACTTTCCTTGAAGTGGTGCTCTTGCTTGCTTCTTCCTCCTCCTGTGTCTCCACTCCCCTCCTGGTTTCCCCTCGGAGCACCTCCTTAGTAATCGTATGGATCCTTGGCTCAGAGTCAGTTTCTGGGAGAGATAGTAGTCATAGAATAAACAGATGGATCCGATATTCTACACGAATACACATTTGTAAACATCTCAAGGCTTTTTTATTTTTTTAAAAGCAAAAAAAAAAACGCTTCCCATTATAAATGAGCTATTTCACTTTTGATATAGATGCAAATACAGGTATCACTCATATTTTGATCAGTCCAAATGGGATTTACTGAGAAGTCACCAATCCAGAAGCTTTCGGGCAAATCTAAATTACTCATGGAAGGAAGCAAGCTTACAAAGGGGGATGTTCCTTGTGCCACCCTGCTCAGGAAGGCCCCTAATTCCTTTAACATTTCTCATCGGACTTACTCCTTCCCTTCTGTGAGGACTTTTTTTTTTGACATTGGGTGGAGCCTGCTTCCTCTTAAAGACAGTCACCAGGATGTCTTCCTGAAAAAATAAATACATAAGATTTCCGCCTTTGCACCTGCAACTTTTCTACTACAAGCCCATTTAGCTACTTGGAAAAGTCAGAAGGACACCTGTTTTTAGATTTGCCCCTTTGTGTTTAATGCACAGCCAAGCCCCAGGGCTGAGAAAGGAATCACTTGTCCTTAACTGATTCCCCTTCCTTCACGATCTATACGGTATTGGCCGACTGCTCACTAGGGTGACCTACCATTCACAAAAATCCTCCAGCTTGTGCTTGGTCACTCAGTTCTGTTGATTTTCTGTCGTTTGAATTCCTCCCCTCCTTTCCCTTCCACTGCTGCTGGTGGCCCTCGTGCAGAGCCTCTTTGTCTCGCATCAATACCATACCCGTGTCTAGACAGGTTTATAAATGGTGTGCATCTGGGTGACTTGGCCAGGGTGTTGGGTTCCTCTCAGTCTGCTTATCTCTAGAGCCTGCTCTCTTCTTCTACGCCCCGTGAATATGGGGTGTTTCTTGTTCTACTTCACCCAAAGGGGTTCTACAATTCAATACTTTTGTGCTTGGGTTGGAACTGTGTCTGTCTTTTATTGTGAAAGTTTAGTCTCTGTTTGGCACTCAGAGCAGGACTGTTGGGGCTGAATGGCAGATAAGGGAAGCTTGAGCGAAGAGCGCACAAAATGTCAGCAAGCCTGGCTTTGCTTGGGCTCACCTCCCCTGTGTCCTTGTCCAGCGATTCGACTTCTCATCGTCTCTGCCAGGAAATAACGACAGTCTCTGCGGCTCGGGACTTTGCTGGAGAAATGGGTCCCCTCATCAGCCCCTCAACTCAAGATGGCAATAGAGAGTTTGGGGAGGGTTCAGCAGAGAGCGACAAGGACGATTCTGAAAGCAGAGGCTGGGAAGATGTGAGAGAATTCTAGAAGTAGGGTGAAAGAAGGAGGTTCAGTTCAGTGATTGATTTCAAGAGAAGAAAGAGTGTCTATACAGACATCTGGAATTTTCTATAGACCGGTGCTTCAGCAGGGAAATTCAGGAATGTGTGAGTACTACTGTGATGGGAGGGATGGGCAAATAAGGCAGTCCTGTCATAGCTCCTGTTCCCTTCAGCTGGAACAGCCGTGGTCCTTGGTCACCAGAGCTCATGCTGGGCCCAGAGTCGACCAAAGCAAGGTTGAAAGGGAGCAGGGTGACCTTCCACCCCAGAGCCCTACCCCTAACCCTCTCCCATCTGCCTCATCCAATCCTTCAGTTCTGTAGGCTCTGGAGGACGTCTGGCTGGAGCAGAAGTGCTCACCTTTGATTCCCCTTTAGAAAGCAGTCAACCTTTCCATCTTCTCCTCCCAGAACTGTTCACAGAAACTCTTGACTATGACTTCGTTTTTGACTTCTTCCTTCCATTTTAGATCCACTTTCCATATATTTCTCAATCCCAAATTGCCTTCCCACTTTCTGTCCTCCTTTCCCACGTCCTGGGGCCTCCCCACTCTCCTCTTTCTTGCAGCTCCATACATGTCGGCCTGGTAGGGAGGGCCTGTGGCATCTGTCCAATCACAGCCCTTAGTGACAGCCAGTGTGGGGAACTTTCCCAGCCGGGATAATCCTGGGCCACTGACTGCTTCAGCTGGCGAACTGCCTGGAGACCCTAGCCCACCCTAGAAGCTGGGTTGGCAAGGATCTTGGTTTCTGTTTTGCTTGACCTTGAGTGAGTTGCAATATTGCTCCCTAACACCATTTCTTCATCCATTCAACATTTAGCGTGCATTTGGAACATGCCGGTCACTGCTCTAGGCAGAGATGTAAACACGATCCAGTTACAACAAAGAGCTCACAAGCTGCTGTGCCGTCTGCTGCTTTTGTAATAAACTATAATACGGCGTGCAAAGTATTATATTAACAATATGAAAAAGACTTGGGTAGACAGAGGGAAAATTAATCCATGGACCACACTTCCTTTCAAATGCTGACTCCATCTTGGGTGGTCACTTGGGTGGTTGCCATCATATAAATAAACATGGACGATGCCAGGCTATTTTGACTCTGTCTGAATGGCAGCCCATTTCCTTTCTCCCCAGGACAACATACCAAAAAAACAATAATCATTAGCTTCTTTCTACTGAGGTAACCATACAGCTATTTCTAAACCCATGTTGGCTTTCAACAGCCACATTTTGACCATCATCACTAGTTATTGAAAGGCAGACCCAGCTTTTAGTTTTACAAAACTCTCTGAAGAAGAGCGGGCTACACAGAAGTGGGATACAAAGAGACCTCTCGTGGAGGGTGGACGGATGGGAGGGCGGTACAAAGGCCGTGGGCCTGAAGTTAGAGCACTACAGGTCTAGTTCCAGTCTATTCACCTATTAAACCTAATGTCCCTGCACCTCGTTTGCAAAATAGGGACATACAAATAGTATCCACTTTGGGGGGTCATGGTGAGAATTGGTTGAGAAAATGCATACAAAGCACGTAGAATGCAGGCACAGTGGTGGTGGTGATAACAGGCGAGGTGACTTTGAGACAGTCACTTAGAAACTCTGGCCTCAGTTTCCTCATCTACAGAATGACTGAGTCCCACAGGAACATTCGTAATTCTGTGCAGCAACAGTTTTTGAGCATCTCTCATGTTGGTGCTACACTGGGGATTCAGAGAAGGGCAAGGCAAGGCAAAGCCCTCACCCTCCAGAAGCTCACCACTAGGGAAGGGGACACACGTGCGCGCGCAAACACACGCACATGCACACAGATGACTCTGACAGAAGACAAGATCCCAAAGAGCTGCGAGGTTCATGAGTGTGAGTGTTCAGGGCAAGAGAGTCCTGGACAGCTTGATGGGGAGCAGTGTTGGACCTGGGCTTTGAAGAGTGAGTAGAGAGAGATTGTCTTTTCCTGCTGATAGACACTTTATCTTTAGGATAAAGGCCAAACCTTTTAGCTAAGTACAACAGGCTCTTCACGATCTGGCTCAGCATCCTTCCGCTGCTTCTCTATTTGCCCCTACCAGTGCCCCCTCACATTATGATAGGTTTAGTACCTAAAAAATATGCCACACCTTCTCTTGCCTCCTGCCCGTCTTTGCACATGCCAGTTCTTTTGGTCTGTAACTTGCCCCTCCCTCTGCTGGGGGAGGGGTGCAGCAGAGCAGACAAGGACGGCACTGGGGTCAGACTGTGGGGTCCAGCCTAGCTGTGCCCCTGCCAGCTGATGGGGCTCTGCTGTGTTACTCAATCTCTGGGTGGGTCAGTGTCCTCATCTGCAAAATGGGGATACAGGATAATAATAGTGCCTGCCTCAAAGGGTGGTTGCGAGGATTAAATGAGGTAATACATGCAGAGTGCTTGGCAGCTGGACCCGCAGTAATCACTGAATAAATATGAGCAGTTGTGATCAACACTCTACGCCTGGCTTGCTCCCGCTTCTATTTCAGGTGTTAGCTTAGTCATCACCTCCCCTCGGAGTCCCTGTTGCGTGCTCCCGTTGGTATCTCCTTTTCTACCAAAACACGGGCACCTGTCACCTCTAGGTATCCCGACCGGATTGCAAACATCATGAGGACAGACAGCGCGCCAGTAGACTGTGTTGGCTGCTGGGAGGGGCACATGGTAGGCACTCAAATAATGAATGACAAGGGCTGAGGGTTCCAGTGATGGGGAGGGAAGCCTCCTGGGGGGCAGGCGGGTTGGCGGTGGGCCGCTGAGAACCGTGAGGCTGAACAGGCCGGTGGACCCTGACACCGCAGGCAGGAGAGAGAGCCCGGGCGTCCAGGGCTCCCTCCCGCCCCGCGAGGCACCCTGGGCGGGCGCTGCGCCGGGGGCAGGAGACGGCGCGCCACCTGGGCGGGGTCTGCGCCCTGGGGAGAAAATGTGGCCGGACGGGTCGGGCGAGCGCGCTGGGGCCCCGCCCCCGGCCCCGCCCCGCCGCTCCGCGCCCGCCCCGCCCCGCCGCCGTCCCGGAGCCTACCCGCCCGTGCCGCCCCCTCGGCGCCCTCCTCGCCGCAGTCGCAGTCCCACCGGCCCGCACCGCCCTCGCGCAGGGCGGGCGCCGCGCCCTTATTCGGCGGAGAGCAGCGCGGCCAGCCGCCGGCTGCCGCTGCGGGATGCTGCGCTCCACGTCCACCGTCACTCTGCTCTCGGGCGGCGGCGCCAGGGCGCCCAGCAGGAGGGGGGGGGCGGGCGCCGCCGCCGTCCCGCTTCCCCGTCCCGGCCGCCTGGCCGTAGCGGGATCTGGCTTTGGGGACGCGCGGGAGCCGGTCCCCCGGCCTCGACCTACCCCCGCCCCCGGACTCAACTGTCCCGTCCTGTCCCAGCCCCGGCCGTGATCCTTCTCTCGACGTCCAGACACCGGCTCGTAGGGCTTAGGGGACTTTCTGGAATTCCCAGAATTTTCCTTTCCTTCCTGCCCCCTCTGGCAGGCCACGTTTATTGGTGGCACGAGTTTAAAAAGCAAGGGGAAAAGATTCCTGCAGTGTCCCTACTTGAGACTCAAAGAGAATGAATGTCTTTAACACCCCAACTTGCCGCTTTTCAGCGGTTAAAAGAAAAGGTCACTTGTCCCCACTGGTGATAGAATAACACCTATTCTGGAGTGAGCTTACCCAAGGTGTAGGCTTCACCTTACAGGAGAGATCAACAGCTGTTTCCCCAGGAGCCCAGTAGTATGGGACTTGGGTTTCTGCAAATCACTGTCTTCATTCGGATTTAAATACCAGCACAGTGGTAGCAAGGGGAGCCCTGGGAGCCCTGGGCACCATCTCCAGGGAGGCTGCCCTTTAGAAGCGCTCTGTTTCTCTGTCACCTTGGTTGCATTTTTCCTCCCCTCTCCAGATGCGCTGTGAAGGATGCTCGGCGCAGGTAGGTTGCATCTGTCCGGTTCTGTATCTCTTCCAAGATCAGTGCCTCAGAGTGCACCGCCAGGAGCTGGCCTTGTGGCTGTTTAGTTCATCCATTCCTCGTAGTATTCATGGAATCTATCACTTGGTGCCTCTTTTCTGTGGTTGAGACTTCTCTAATCACGTTTCCCAAGTTTTAGCTAAACAGATGCGTAAGTCCAAGTCAGGACCCCCTTTGGCACTCCGGACTTCTAGTCTTGTACACATGCCTATTTGCGTTTCCATACCTCAAACAAGTGACTGGCGGTCACCTTCTGTGCTTTCTTTAGCTCTAGAAGAAAGGCATTGTGTTACTCTTGGGTGGGGGCCAAGTGATGGATTCTGAGGGGGCGGGGGCGGGTGCGGGGTGTGTGTGTCTGCGTGTGCATGCACGTACACCAGACCTGTAGGGTTGACAGAACCCTGGTTGTCCAGTTATTAGCTTTGCAAAGCAAGATCCCCATCAGGTGCAAGTGGGTTTCCAAGCCTTACTCCAAGACAGGCATTTACCTTTTTTTCTGTGGAAATCCTGCACAGTTGGAACACAGTTGTGATTGAGAAAGAATGAAGTCACTGAAAAGCCAGACCTGAGCCTGGACAGAGTCATACATGGAACCAGATTGCATGAAAGTGTCAAGTGCCCCTCCAGAGATGGGCAGCTAGAGCGGGTGGGTGCAGATGTGACTAGCACACTAAAGAACCTTTCTGAAGATTGTTTTTCTCAAATGTTTACTTTCAGGTATTTCTTTAGTTGTAAGTGGCACAGTGGACAGACAGACTGTTGAGAGGCTTTGTCTTTTGAATAAGACAACCAAAATACTTCGAGCTGGAGGGGTCAGGGTCAGGGACCTGAGTCAGACCACGTAGGGCTGTTCTGAGCACATGGGTACTGGCACACTTGTTCAGGAAAGAAGATATCTAAAGGTTCTAGGGTTCCCTTTATGATTTCCTCCGCTCATGATCTGCAAATGCCCCAGGTCCTGTCTATGTGTATATGTGTGGGGAGCATGGTGGGAAGATGTGATCCGTTGATTTATTTTTTTTTTAAACAACATTTATAGATATCCTTCTGGAGGATACAGGGCTAGGCATTGGGGTCCACTCTACCCATGGAGGCAGCCCTTGTCACAGACTACCATCGTACAAAGTGAGGGTTGTTATAGTGGGGTACAGTGTTAACAAAGTTGGGTGAAGCTAAAAGGAAGGGTTCTTCCCAAGGCAACCGAGGAAGATCTCCCTCTTCAGGGGACATTTGAGTTTAGTCTTGTAGGGTGAATAGGAGTTTGTGGGGCGATCGACATTGGGATACCGAAAGGAGAAACTATTACTCATTTTAATGTAAGTCTTGGCATATACTGTATCATAATGGCATATTGAATTTGCAAACTTTTTTTTTTTTAGAAAGACAAGAATGGGATGTCTTGAAAATAAAATTGTAGACCAAGTAATCATGAAAAGTGTTCCTGAAGTCGAGAGTAGTTTGTCAATAAACGCTGTCATCCTGTCTTTCCTCTTGGATGTTGGACAGGTGGTGGTCTTGGACGAGAACATGCTAGCTATCACCATAGTGTTTCTGCTTTATCCAAAGAGCTTACCAAATTAGGGACTGCGGGAGAACCGGGCTGTGTTGGTCCAGATATTCAAGCCAGCTAGAGATGGTGGTGACAGCTGACACTGAGCAGGGAGTTTTCTGAGTCAGCCACCCAGGGTGGTGTAGCCAGACCAGACTGTCACCAGTTATCCCCTGTCCCATGGCTGCCACCTACCATTTATACTTCCTTCTTATCTGAAATCATCTCTCAAAGGAAAAACAAAAAACTGGTGGGAAAGTAATTTGTATCAGCTGATAAGCAGAGGCATTTATGGATGCCAAGCAGCAGGGGTTGTGAAATTAGGGGGAAAAAAAAAATCTACCTTCAAACCAGTTGCGCACTGAAAATAGTTTTATCTATGGCAACAGCAGGAAGATAGATTGGCTGGAGAGTAAGGACAGCGTGATGCCCCTTAGAGAATGAGGGAAAACATTTCCAAAAATACATCGCTTCACGATTTTGAAGGGAATTTTGCAAATGAAGTTAATCCCACCTAAATGAGCCTTTGAAATGAAAGGTCGGCTGTGTGGCCAGGTTGTGTGTGTTGAGGGGAGAAGGCACGTGTTGCTTCGTGCAGCCAAATGCTTTTAGTGAAGCTGTTTGGCTGGGGCGGTGAGAGACCGAGATCTGTCAGGGGTTTTCTCCAGCGCCACGCTGTCTTGATAATAAGAGATTGTTGGCTGGTGTTGCTGGTCATGGCCCCTCAGTGGCTCATAAAAAGGAAAACAAAACAGAAGCAAACCCAAAAAGGCCACAGGATAGGACTGTCTCCTACCCTGCTCTTGCTGATATTTCTTTCCATTTGGCAGCGGCTTCCTCTGTCAAAACCCAATTGGCCTGCCAGCCCTTACTCCCTAGCTAACGCACACTCTCCTAGGTCCCATTTCTGTCTGATTGGCTCAAAGAATTTTCCTTAGCTGGCTAGTGAATGGGTCAGATTTACTTCCTTTTCACAGAAATATCTGTGTGCATAACTTCTGTATCAGTGGGCTCTGAGGAAGGGACGTGGCATTGTGGGACCTCGGTGTCTGGTGGAAGGAAGCTGGCAGCGGCACCCACCAGGGACGGGTGGGCAGGTGGCCCACTGCGCCCAGAAAGCAGGCTGGCTCCTCACCAGGGCCCCCTGGACCCGGCCCTTGACAGGCCAAGTTGCGAAGTTTTGGAGCCCTGGCATCCTCAGGCCTTAGCCAAGAAGCTTCTCTCACTAAAGTGTGACAGTTGCAAGCTCAGAAAAAACGTCCCAGCCTCCATGCTTTGGTTCACCCAACTTGCCGTGTCAGAAGTAGGACGAACAGACCCGAGCCTTGGGGACTCTTAAGGAAACTTGATTTCCTCAAGACGGCGAGCCCGTGGTTCTGCAGAGGGTGTGGAGTAGGATTCTGGACCCTTCCGTGTCTTCAGTGTCCTGCAAGAGGGCTGCATATGTGGTCTGCATCACAGTTCATCTGTCATGAGCACCGATTGCCAAACGAGAAACCCAGATGCCCGAGCTTCTGATCACTTGGAAAAGGCTTTCAAGTCAGTCAGCCTCAAAAATGGTCTAGTTGTGCTCGAGGAGCCGCGGATCCAGGGCTAACTAACCAGAGACCATGTTGAAAAGCTTCCATCTGAAATACTTTCAGCCATTACCTGCGTCATGGTCTTAGAGCTTCTTGTGGCCGGCTCCTCCAGCCTGAAACAGTTCCAGTGTTCTCTAGCACCCAGAAGAGGGCCACAGGGGTATTTCCCTCTGTCTCGCTTTAGGTGAGTGATTATTTCCTAAATTTCAGTCATACTGCTGACTCTTATTTGTACTTAAAGGCCAGAGTGCCCTTTCTAAAATGCAAAATCCAGTCAGCTGATGACCCTGCTTCAGAAGCCCCCCTTGGTACTACCAGCAACAAGTACAAATTCCATACTAGAGCATCCAGGCCTTTCTCTCTGGCCTTTGCCTTCCTTGTCCCCCTCCCACACTTTGTCCAGATATTCCAAATTACTTGCCATTCCCCAAGCTTTCCATGCTGTTCTCTGCCTCTTTCATGCCTCTTTGAGGAAGGGTCACTTCCTCCAGGGAGCCTGTCTGAACTCGCCTTTTCCGTGTTTTCCTAGAGGCCTGTGCACCCGGTCATTGCTTGCATCATCTATGATTAACTACATGAGGAGAGGGGTTAGGGACCATCCCTCCCCAGGCCTGGTATAATTGGTGCTTAAGAAGAGGAGGATGTCACTGGGGTCCTAAAGGGGCCACACTTCACACTGAATTGGCAAACAGAAAACGAGGAAGAGAAGCTTGGGATAAAGCCAGCCCATCACCTCTGGCCCACCTGGGCAGGAAGCAGGTGACGGATGGGAGTGCTGGTCCAGGTGAAGGGTTTGACAGTTCTGGGAAGGCCTCCAAATAGTTCAGTTGCCTCATCCTGTTGCACAAGTTGGAGTTTCATTCCTTTGGTTAAGTCAGTGGTTCTCAACCCTGGTTATACATAGAATCACCGAGAAGCTTAAAATACCTATGCCCCGGCCCCACCCCAGACAGTTTAAATGTGAACCTCTGAAAGTAGAGAATAACACTAGTGTTTTTCAGGAAGCTCCCCAGGTGATTCTAATGTGCAGCCAAGAATGCGAACTACTTCTTTAGTCATTGCTGTCTTCTTACAGCTTTCTTGGGCATACAGACACTCCTGGGACAGTGCTCTGGAAGGTCCCATTGGCTTTGTGAAACATCAAGGTGGTGGTGTGGGGAGGGGGGGTTCCTAACACTCCAGGTCATGCTGGTATTTGTGTGCATTCATTGACCTGCATTTTCTCTCTGCATGTTGGCATTCCTGGGCACATTGTGTGCTGGTACAAAAGTGAGCCCGTGAGGACAGGAAGGAGAGGTCACTGTCTTTATATTTATGAATTTTGTCTGGAGTCTGTCCTGACATGGGAAAGAGGGGCTGGAGAACACCATACACCACCCTCAAAGAGTCCAAGTATGTAGATCAGCTCCTGTCCCCTGGGCCATATTTGGCCCTCTTGGCTTGCTTTGGATGCCTCTGAGTTAAGAATGGTTTTCCCAGTGGCCTGCAAAACCTAAATATTTTCTGTTTGGCCCTTCACAGAAAAGGTTTGCCCCACTCTGATGTAGATCACCAGGCCTGTAAGTTCAGGGCCACGGCAGGGCTAAGAGGCCACCTCCAGGTGGACCATGCCTTGTTCCGCACAGTCCAGAGATGTAATGCTTGTGCCGAGCAGAGTGTGATGTCTGTCCTCCGAGCCACATCACAGAAACCACACCTCCTGTTGTCAGGTGGAACTGGGCAGGAACCCACAGTCGCAAAGTGAACCAGGCCTTAGAGAAATGGAAATGCATTTGGCTAATTTCCTTAGGGAAGTACGTCTTTGTCAACTGAGCAACCCCTGCCCCCTCCCT